CATAGATAGATACATAGATAGGTACATAGATAGATACATACATGCATATATAGATGCATAGATAGATAGATAGATAGATAGATACATACATGCATAGATAGATGCATAGATACAATCCAAGTTGGAGTGAGGACAGAGGATGGAGATGAGGAGGATGACTGTTGTGACCTTTGATCAGGGAGCCTCAAGGAAGGAAATCCTGGGAGAAAACTATCTATAGAAATGTTGAAGGCTTTTAAGTCTTCCACCCATTGAGAAAGACAAAATAGTCAATTGACTTTTATAATGCCTTGGCTTTTTTCTGCATCACTACTGTGATAATTCAAAGCCAAAATATTCTTCTCAGAGTAACAGAAAGTATTTAAGATTGCGTATACCCACGTCAGCACTCGTCTTCATCTGAGGTCAACGTTTGAAAAGCACTCGAGATTTCAACATGACATTACTCTTAATTTATTTCTTTACTCAATAAAGATTTTAGCATCAGTGGAATGTCTGTGGAGGCAGTACAAAAAGCCAAAGAATCAGCTTATTTCATAACAAATATTTTCCAAATGGCTTGCATTGACTCAAGTTCAAGGGAAAGGTGACGTACCGTTTTCTCTACAAAATCAAACTCACAAAGTGTTCCAAGTGAAATATCATGCATTAAGTCCAAAAAAAATTAAGTTGCAGTCTTTTTTCTGACTCATAAGATTAAATCTTATAAAACTATAGTTTAATAAAACATACTGTAATCCTAACATGGCCTTCCTGAATACCTCTGAATACCATAAATGGTTCACATTAGGGTATCTCCAGGTAAATCTGGTATACAAGTGTCTTAAAGCGTCCTAATGTCCCTGAAATGAAGGTCTTTTTCACAAACCTAATCAAAGCAACAAAATATGCTAATATTGCTCTCCATTTCTGACCTTCTATGGCTTCAGAGAGAAGAATGCACAGTGTTCACCACCAACCTTGAGCTTTTGTTCTCCGTGAATATTTTTCATTCAACAAATTCAGAATTAATTTGGACTGGTCAGAAAATTATCTCTTTAGGACGCTATTTGGTGTTTTTTAAACTCAGCGTCTTTCTCATCAAGCTGTCCTCTTGAACATTTTTCTGAATTTACCTTTTGGAATGCTGGATCACCAGTTTAATTCTTTACTTCTTTATGTAAATGGTCTAAAAACCTTTTTGGAAACTGCTTACCAACAGGACATCTTTTCCTACAATTTACAATTTCTTATCATTTTTGTTTAGATGTCTAGCTTGATACTTGATTTTTAGCCTCAGATTTGTACAGCTTTACAGACATTTCCTTTACTGACACAAAAGAACCGTTTCTGGAAAAGACAAACGTCATTTGTAATCGTTTTTGTACCCTGTTGCGGAGCCAAGAGGCTCCGTCCGTCTGTCTGTACATGTGAGGTGGACAACTTGAAAAATAAGTTGGGTATCGACTTCCATTTTGGTGTGTGGCTATGTCCAGATGTAAGGAAGGTTCATTTGAAAACTGGGTTGCCACATCACAATCCAACATGGCTGCCACCATGAACCTGGATG